AGAGGGCGATTGCGGTTGCGGCTCCCGCCGGCGATGGCGGCGCCACCACTGGCCGACATTGACGCGGTGGTTCGCGAGACGAGGGTAATTAGGAGGACGAAACGACGACGTTGGGTTTAGGTTAAGTTCTAAACTCGAATAGAGAGCGAGTGTGAACTGCCAAGGGTTTATTATTTAGCGCGTCCAAGTGATTGCGCACTCCACGCTGAGGTTTTCTATGTGGATTCATTTACTCTCGCTTCTCCTCAACAACCTTTTCTTTTATTGTTTTTTTTTATTCACAGTTTATTCTTCTTTATAATACTAATTATTTGTATATTATAAACACGTAAGATTCACCTAATCATAAAAGAGTTTGAATAGTATGTTACAAAAAGTCTTAAATTTTAACTTTATTGTTAATATTGTATAAAAAAATCATCTATATATTCTCAAGCTTTAAATCAAATAGGGTCGAATTGTTCTGATTTAAACAAAGTTCGAATTGAACAAATTACAATTGCGTTAGATATTTTTTAGTGATACTACAAATTTATAATTTGATTCTTCCTCACTTGCAGACAATTCTACAATTTGATAGTTACTAGTTCCTACTAAACCACCCTTGTCTCGTTTATGCGAATACAAGATGCTTTGTTCCCTTCTCATTATTCTTTTCTAACAATTGAAGCCCTAATCCTTAAAGGGGGAAAGAAAGAGCTATTGTTTCGTTTCATGTGTTGGTCATTTTATTCTTCAACTAGTTGGTGCAAGGAAATACTATAAGAAATACTACTCCCATTTTTATATATAAAAAATAAATACATAATTCATTAAATAAAAATAGCTTAATTAATTAATTGTAATTAATGATATTATAAATCAAATCTTTTATTTTAAAAATACTCATAAAATTAAATAGTGTAAACAATAAATTTAATGACACTACTCAAATTAAGAAATAACTTTTTGAACCAAGAAACATGAATTATAATGTTAGCAAGTTAGAGCTAACTTAATTTTTAAGCGGAAGCCAAATTACATGCAAACAATTTTTATGAGGAGTATCTTTTATTTTAAATTAAATGGGAGGAAGGGTCACACTAAGAATTTATATATATAAAAGGAGTGTTAAAACGATACTGATATAACTTTTATTAAGTATTACATCGTTTAATAATTTTATATTAAATGTAAATTTTATAAATCTAACTGTTAGATTGAAAGTTTTTTACTCTTAGATTATATATACAAAAATTTATATTAATTCAAAATGATTTGATACTTCATTCTTATAAAACAAAATTGACGTAATATATACATTTCAAAATATAATAAAATATAAACATTTTGATTACTTTAAAGTTGTTGTTCAATTTTAACAAAATTTGATATAAACATATAAAGTGATATGAACATTCAATCTAATAGTTGGATTTACAAAATTTACATTCAATATAAAATTATCTTACGGTGTAATACTTAGTAAAAATTACATCGGTATCGTTTGAACCCTCCCCTCCCTCTCTCTCTTTTATATATATATATATATATATATATATATATATATATATTATTATCCATAACTACACAAGGAACAATCCCTAAATGTTAATTATATAATAAATACATTTATTTCATAAAAGGAAAGTAAATGACCCATTAATAAATTTATAATAAATTAATAAAATAAAAAGAAATCATCAATTAATATATTTAAAAATAGACATAAAACTTTTATTTGTTTCTTATATATAAGAATATAGATCATACTTTTCATAGTCACTATTAATAATTTTCACCATCACATAACAAAGACACTTCTATATATAAGATTGAGTAAATTATACCAATACTTCTTAAAATTTTGTAAGATTACACACACTTTTTTTTTACAATAACCTCCCTTGAATTACAATGTAGTATTTTTGAAACAATTAAAGATGTTCATGTTATATAATATTTTTTAAATAATTAAGAAGTTAGTGTAAGAGTAGAAAAATGAAGGTGTGTAATATTTCGCGAAACCTCGAACAGTATTTATGTAATATTTACACTAAGATTTTTGTTTAACTTTCTTTAATTTGCAACCTATTACAATCGGAGGAAAAGAAACAATAGGCAACAAATTTAAGTAGAACAATAAATAATGTCAAAAAAAATATATACAAGACAATCAAATATACTTTTATTTGTATTCAAAATCTTTAAGAATTGAATTTATGAGCGTTTATGTCCCATTAAAAACATTTGATATGCCCGTTACAAACTAAGCATATTATATTATATTATATATATATATATATAATTATGGAAAGTAATTAAACTTTTGATCACCAAATATTTCACTTAGATAAATACCATTGAATGTTTTTAGATTGAATAGTTGTAAAATAACAATAAAAACAATTATAAGAGCACTCCCGTAATAAATAAATAAATAAATATTAAGACCATATTTAGAGTTATATATCTGTGCTAAAATGTGTGTGCATCTCATTAGCATATTATATCTTTTGTTTCCTTTACAAACCATCCTTTCATTCACCAACCCTTGAAAGCAATCCAAATGACTATGTTTGACTATAACCAGGATTTGGTCCATCTAAATAATAAATAAAAAAAGGGAAAATGTAAAGAAGATCGGTTGCGGTTGTAACTAAAAAAATAAAAATAAACAGTTGAATTAGTTATCTTCTTCTATGAAGCAAACTTGGATAGTCTGACTTTTATTTATTTTAGAACTCTTGGAGTAACCGCTATCTAAACATGGATGGCACAAACTCTAATCTTCAAGTTAGTTATCCATAGTAGAGTTGTGCGTAGTTTGACTTTTTAAACAATCAATTCAAACCAATTTGAAACATTATTTCTATAGATAGAATTTTAATCCAAACCAATTTGTTATTTGACAAGATAGAGTTTGGTTTTTGTTGAACCAATTTTGATTCAGTTCAATATAGAATCAATTTTTGAGAGCTGAACTAGTTTTGAACCAATTTTTTAGTGCACAATTAGTTTTTAAACTAGTGTATATTGAGGAGATATCTATTTACTTTATGAGTAAGTTTATCTAAATTTGCTCTATTTAATAACTCATGTTTTATATTAAATTTCAACGATCTAACCGTTGAATTTAAAATTCTTAATGCATATATTAAATCTGAAATTTTTTTAAAAATTTAAAAATTATTTGATATTTCATTTTATTAATTTAAATCAATGTATAAAATAATTTTATGATTATCCATCAATTTAAATTAATGAAATGAAGTATCAAATAATTTTCAAATTTTTTAAAAATTTGCAGATTAGATCTATAAATTAACAACTTTAAATTAAACAGTTAGATCATTGAAATTTGATATAGAACAAAAGTTATTGAACGGAATAAATTTAGGTAAACTTACTCTTGGAGTAAATGGATCTTCCTCGGTATGTGTGTATATATATATATATATATATCAATTTTTAATTATTATTATTTAAAAAAAAATACAATTACTTGATAGCATAACATTTAACATATATTATTTTTTGTAGAGCATTGTGTAAATATTAAAGAATGGACATTTTAAAATAAGCTTATTAGTATTTTTACGTGTTCTTAATTAATTATGTCAGGACTCGAGAGTTCCTACTTACTAGTTTCCATTTTGTAAATTAACATGGTTATTATTGTATTTACTTCTTTAAATAATGACATATATTAATATAGCATTTTCATAGTTGAATAATATTATTAATTATATTAATTTAGAACTTATATTGATGAAAAAATTGGGTTCTTCACTTCATTGGATGTTAGTCTCATCAATTTTTCTTTAAGTATGTTCCCAATTCTCGTTCTTAATATTTTTTTTACTAGATTTTATTTATTTTTTATTGAGCTATATTAGTCTAAAGCGAAAGTTTAGAATATTTGTGCAAAATAATAAAAAAAAATCATGTATCTTCAATTACTAAATCTCACCTCGATAATAATCAAATCAGTTAAAAAAAACAAATAGAATCATTTCATATCACGTCACAATATTTGAGAAAATAAAATTATAGCATTATATAATTTTTTTTAATTATTATTAATTTTGTCAATAATTAAATAATTATGTTGTGGTGATTTTAGGGCTAATTGTTGAGAAACTCTAAGAATTAAAGAATTTTCATGAGTCTTGAGTGGTTTAGGAGATTTCTTTACACAAAGGTCTAGTTTGACCCCAAGGAGAAGATATATAATGTTTCTTTTAAGAATTGATCTTCATAAATTCATTCTCAAGAGTTCCAGAGAGATAAGCTAGTGATAAGTGCTCTTGAGTCGAAGTTTCCTTCTTCTTGCAACCTTCTTGAGAATGAGCAATCATTTCCTTAGAGATTTGAGTATTTGTTGTTGTTGTTGATTCAAGTCGGTAGAGACATAAATTAGAGCTTGTGAAGTCGTGTAGAGTTTCCTCAAAAGAGCTTGGTTTCATTCTTCCTTTTTTTCTTTCTCCTTCTTCAGATTCTTGAGATTTTGAGATAAGGGGAGCTAGAACTCCATTCTTGTTGATTTTGTTGTGTTATGAATTTGAATTCATTGAATTTTGTGGTTGTGTTGTGGCTGATTGAGGATCTGGTGTTTTGATTTTGAGGTTTTGGTACCTTAGTGAAGATTAGTAGACTTTGAACTCATTGATAGTGGCATGTTGATGGACATGAGACACTTGTGATGTATAATGATTGTGTATGCTCTTGCATGTTGAAATTTGTTGATTTTCAGGTGTGGAGAGCTAAATTTGTGAATTTGTTATGTGCATATTTCACCATCACATTGGGTGCGCCTTTGTAGTGTTGAATGTGGCTTAAATAAGGGATTATCTACTTTGTTCAGGTTAGGTGCAAGATTGAGGGCTTTTGGGTGTGAAGAAAGAGAAAAACATCTGATTTTGTCATGCAGACATGATTCGAATGATGTTGGGCATGAAAGGAGAGAGAAATGTCTCTAATTTGGTGACGTTGATCCCTAATGGAGGGGCGCAGGTGTGACCAAGGAAAGGACTCCTTGCCTAGACAACATCGGACATGAGTCAGGTAGAGACTATACTTGAAATGAAGTTGGATGTGGAATTTAACCATGTCAGACATGATAGCAATAGAGACTCATTGTCTCATCCACATTGGATGCAGGTTGAGTGGCGTCAAGCTTAGACGAGCTTGAGAGCTCTTTGCTTTAATAACGCTGGGCGTAGGGAGAATGTTGTCAAGATGGGTTGCATATTCAAAATGTGTTATTTTTGGCTAAGTATTGAACATTGTATGAGTAATAGAACTTATATGGTGTATGTTGTTGTATGATATCACTTATTTATACATTGATGTATGCAGTTGATTAAATTGTTGGGTATGACATAATTTGTATGTAATACCGTGTTGAGTAGTTGTGTTGAGAATGCTTCAGGCATGAAGTTATATTGAGTTGATTGACTTGGGACTAGAGAAAAAGTTGTTTTAAAAGTTGAATATTTCATTATGATGACATTTTTGTGGTGCTCTACAAGCCTAATTAATTGTGAAAAACCTTTCGCTAAAAGTTGACATTTGAAATGGATTGTTGAGTCCCCTCTAGAGCCCTAGTTAATGTGGTATATGAGCAAAGTTGAGACATGTCATCTATAAGCGATCACAATATAGGAGTCAAGTCGAGTTATACTATTTATAAAGTGATCAATGTTGATCTATATGTATGTGAGTAAGATCGAAGCATACATGTATAAATTGACCAAACTAAGTAAGATGCAAGGTTGTACTAGAAGGGCATAGTATTTGGAGGATAATCAGTAGACTAATCTCATAGGTGACTTAGTTATGCAACCTAATATCGTGGTAGAGTTACATTTAAGCTATTCTACCTTGATAATAATACTAGACTTCATAGTTTAAGTTGTAAAATTCAAAAAATCATGTTGTCGTGGATTTTTATCTAAATTCGTTGTTGATCTAGATGGATTGAAAAGATCGAATTGTTGTTGATTTGATAAGGTCAAACCACTTAGATTACTCACCTATATTGTAGGAGATTTCTTAATTAAAATGTGTGAGGGCACATGTAGTTAATTTGTTGTGCATATGTGGTTGAGTTGTTGAGTTGCGTGATGCAGATGTCATGTTGTAATGTTGTGCAATTTGAATGATAAGTTATGCATGTAATGTGTTGATATCTTATGATGCTCACGTGTTATTTTGAATTGGGATGAGTTACATTATTGTGTTGTTCAAGTTGAAAAACATATTGTGATGTGTCGAAACAAGTTGTTGAATCGTTTATGTGGATATTATAGTTGTTTTACTTTTATACTTATTATATTGATTTCTTTTGAATAGTGACTTATTCTTACATGTCTCTATGAGTCCATGTAGTTGTACTACGATGATCATATTAAATATGAGAGCACAACATAGATAAGTATAAGGAGGAGTACATATGAGGCCAAGTTGGCGATGTTGCTAGTGTTCTTTTGAGCCACTCTAATGTAGTTGGTGTAGTATGTTGTTTGACCGGTAACTTAGGCTCATACACTTTTTTAGTTGATTATTTTGGATTATTGTATGTATGTATGTGAATATATATATATATATATATATA